GGCTCCAGACAAGGTCAAGTTACGACGTCTAATGCGTCACGATAGATCAGGACGGGTCAGGTGTAATACAAGAGTCAAAAGTGCACTGAATTGCCGCGGGTTGAGGCTCCTAAAATCCACTTTACTCAATCCTATCTCTGTCGTGTTTAAATCGACAAGATATCCTATGCTGGCATTGGTCTAACAAACGCCAGCTATCACATCACCCAGTTTTATACAGGGAACTGTAAACGCCTCCGAACTTGCATGAATGAGATTGACATAGAGATCTGTGAGAAGAAACCGAGGCCAAAACCTTCCATATAAGTAAGAGATGCCTTTTTATTGTCGTTTTTGCTTATTTATGAACGGATTTTTCTGCTTGACGTATGGATTGATAAGAAGGTTACTAATGTTGTAGTGGTGTACTGAAGCGTTTTGCCGCGGATTTTTCGGAGGCGTATTTAGCGGAACGTGCCCGTAATGCGACCTAATGTGCGGGAACATTCGAGGCAAGGACAACGGTCGCATGTTGATATGCTTTATCATAAGGCAGGATGAGTTAATGGCAGTTAAAAGGTTGGCAGTGTTGATAATGTTACAACAACTGATAAAACTGAAGACTGGGAAGTTGTTGGATGTGAAAGATATTCTGCAAGTCAGATTGTGTTGAACGCCGCTTATGTGGATGCGTGTGTACGGTAGATGTTCTAACTCATGAAATGTCAACGGAATTTCTGAAATGCTTTTCCAAATCAAAACGATTATGTACGTGGGATTGTAATATCAATCACGATGCAGTACGATTTCAAGAAAACTCAGTAATCCCAGGATACCAGCTTTTAAAAAAAACTTTATTGGCCGTTTGCAAAAACAACGCTCAACACAAAATGACTACTTTGTTGGCAGGAATGTTCCTCGTTGATTTTCGATGGCCTCGTAAATTCAAGTGGATTTCATAGGAGACATAAACAAGCGTGTTCAGTCGCCTACTTATTTTGTAGAAAATCACGTCTTCTTCAAATTCTATACTTTAATGAAGAGTTTAACTTTGGTTTAGAAACGTTTCTTATTATAGAACTATGTAAGACCGTGGAGTGTCCTTCCACAAAATATCATGTCTCTGAATTTACTTATATTTTTAGTAACGTTTACTATCTGGCCCAAATCCACTGCTACATACCATTTAGACCACAAAGTTTTTCACTTAATAACTTTTAGAAATACGTGATTTTTGTATGTGGATAATATAAAGCTTTTACTTTGAAAACCCATAATGCACGCGTAACGGAAAGTTTGATCTATTTGGAATTGGAATAGTTTTCTTAACCCAGTCTTACGATTTCTTGTAGTATCGAAATTGAAGAAGACGTAATTTTGATACCAAATGTGAAAAAAATGCATACGTTTTTGCATGTCTATTACAAATTGTATTTGAATATATAAGGGCATTAAAAATCCCATATTTGTCTATGCCATTCAAGAGATATTATACGGGGTCCATAAAATTTTGCAATGGATGCGGACCATGTTGTACATTTCATGAGGAGCAGTGGTAAACGTCCAGTTACGATGTGAATGGACATATCGCGGTCTTAAAAGTCTTATAATAAGAAACTTTTTTAAAACCATATTATCCTCCTTTTTTAAGAATAAAATATAAAGAAGACGTTGTTCTCTATTGATTAACTGAAAGAAAGCATATTTTTGCTTGTGGTTTCTATAAAATATATTTGAATTTCCAAGACCATCGAAAATCAATGGAAAAATGCATGCTACATAAGTAGTTATTTTATACCAAGCACGCTTTCCACGGGAGATTGAAAAGAAATGTATTTTAAAGCCGACATCCTGCCGAGTCTAAAATGTTATAAAAGTATGCCTTGTGATAATCAGAATCAAAATGGCGACCAAGTAATCCTCCCTAATTGAAAACGCATTCCAGCACTTCAGCCAACATTTCATGGGATATGTCACGTACTGTAAATAGTAATTTTTTACAGAATTTTATTTTTGCAGGCGGCCTCGAAGAAGTTCGCCCTATTGCCGGCATCAAACAATAACTGAAATATCTTAAGATTATGCTGCGCGGTAACTAATATGACAACCCTATTTATGTAGTCGTTTCCAGTTGGAAACACATTGCAGAATTTCGGTTAACATTTTATAGCACATCCACTTTAGTCGAAAGGCCCGTGCGGTGCCGAGAGGATAAATTGGTGGCCGCAGCCTTTGTCATAGTGCGTGTTTAGGGAGGTTACTGCGGTTTCTCATGCCATTGGTTGTGAATTTACGTATTGTTGGCATGTATAAACGCGCTACTAGACAATAATATGCCGAAATTTTTCATCGAATATGATGCTCTGGGCTAAGGTCACGCACGTCCTCGCCTTTGTAAGTGCATGAGACAACTGATTAGCGCTCTTACTGATCTACCTTGATTGAATAAGGCAGTTTGGTTTCGCATCGAATCGTTTTGCCGCGAACTGCGGCATTTATCACATAATCGTGAAAAAAAGTCTACACGGGCCGCTTTGATTTTAGTTCATTAACGTCGCCTACCACATATGAATATCAGATGGAAAAGAGAAACGCATCCAGTAAAAAAACCTGTTAGCTGAGACATTTTGCCGACGTTTTTAACGCAACCCACCACCTGATTGCAAATATTGTACGTGATCAGTGTAACGCACGATGATTTTTCTTAATTTGCCTCCCGTGTGAAAAATACTACAGCAAATTAATTTAGCGCTTTGCGCAGAATATTCTAGAATGTGTGGCGTTTGCGTGATTTCATAAAAAATGCCTTTTTTCAGGACACAGTAGGTGCCCACAAGTTGATGGAAGATTCCGCATTAGTCACATTGCCGAGCACCTCATTCAACGCATTTTACTGTTTTCTGTGAAAGAGGAAAGTGTAGGTCGTCTGATCTGTCCTTACAACCTAACCATCGAGGGCGGAATTTCGGTCCGAAATTGTTTTCTGATGTCAAGGCCACTATCTGATAAATATGCATTATATTTCTGTGAAGCTGTTTGCGAAATTGTTTCACTTGCTTTCAACTGGGTACGTGTCATTATTTTCTTTAGCGGTTTTAACCGAATTATTTTGCTGTAAATTTTTACATTTTTGAAACGCTGAGTAATTTACACTTACTTTTTTGTATATTTAGCAAATTTCCATGAAATCATGGTTGAGGAATGTCACAGTTGAGGCAACGTTCAAAGTCTCCAACTGGGACACGAATAAATTTGGGCCAAACATAATCGGGATTTCAAAGATTCACTTTCCGAATTTACTATCCAGAATAGAAATTTTGCCATGGTTCTGTTCGAATTACTATCTGAGACCTGTCACTGCAGCGAGCAGGACCTTGGTCACTATGATACAAGATTCAGTCAACGAAGACTCAGTAAAATGCGAACTTGGTGACAATGCTATTGAGTGAAGTATCAGTTAACATTGTGCAATGTGCAGAAATTAGAATGTACTGTATTACGCAGACCCCCGTGAACACAGCATAGTGTTGTTTTTATTTTTGTCTTTTAAATTTTAGTGTTCATGGGCCCTTCAATTATTGGTTCACAATGCTTGCTTCACTTAATATATGATACTATGTTACCCACTCAAAATTAATATGACAACGAGTGAATTTTACGCAGGCTCGTTATAGATATCTCGACTGGTGTGGCATAAGTATAAACGCAAGAATTCTGGCCCTTGATTTGAAGCGCAGCATGCGGGGCGCAGAATATAAACTTTCAAATTTAAACTGAGCAGCGTGAAAGATTTTTGGGAAGTACAATGTAAAGTACCCCATCGGATTGGCAAATTATAGCCAACATATGAAGCATGAGTTTCGAAAATGCATCCACCTTTGCACGAACCATTCTTATTTCCTTGCCCTTCTTAGAAAGAATGGACGAAGCATGAAACACAGCTCTTGAAGAAGGAGACACAATCGCTGGGACAAGAGCTTTATTAGCCCGACGTTTCGGATTCCTGCTTGAACCCATCATCAGAGACAAAAGCATATAAGAATGGTTCATGCATATACGGCTGCAGTATTTATAGGATGCAGTCGTCATGCCACCGCATTCCTATGAACATTCACTGCCCCCCCTTCATCCGGGCTCGTCGCACTTGGTATGCTAATTATTTGATAGCCGACATTCGCGTAGTTAATTGCTGTCATTTCATCACGTGCGCTGGATGTTGGTTTGATGATTGCTCGACCATCTGATCCACCGACCCTGGAGTTGAGAAAAATGTTTACCTGTGCCCTCTCCCCGTAGGCAATTACTCCGCCTAGGGGAAGTCTCAGCTCGGAATATGGTAGGGGAAGATTATTGCACTTGTTAATGGACTGGGGGATCAGTAAACCATGATTCAACTAGTTGCCGGCTGACGCGGTTGTCACCTCTTGCGAGAATTTCGGCCTCATCGAATTTGAATGTGTGGCCGGATTTCGTCGAATGGGCCGCAACTTGAGAGCTGGCGTCATTTCTCTGCACTGCTGCAGCGTGTTCGGCAATTTTCGTTCGGAGCTGTCTTTCGGTTTCTCTGACGTAGTTTCTTTGTCCGCAACCGCACCATATCCGATAAACGACTCCAGACGTTTCTTACTGCGGCAGCGGGTCTTTATGTTTCATTACCAGACACCTGATGGTTGTCTCCGGTCTGTGTGGAACTCCAACCCCAAGTGGTGCGAGACAGCTGCCGAAAGCTCTCGAGACGTTTTTGACATACGGATGCGCGCACCAAAATTTGGTGTCCGTGCAGTTAGACCTTTCGCCCCTTCAGCGTATGCACCGGTTGACGAAGTTGCGCGGGCAGCCATTGTCTTTAAAGACCCGTTGGAGGTATTGTAATTCGTCAATCTTGTCTTCAGGCTCACTGCAGTTCGTTTTGACCAGCGGACAGAGCGTCCTTACACAACAGCGTTTGTGACTGATTGGGTGGTTGCTGTTGAAGTTCAGTACTTGCATCGTATTTGTCGCTTTCCTGAACACTTTGGTCTTTAGTCACCACAATCCTTGCGGCATACCAGGATATCCAGGAAGGCCATCTGATTGTTCTCTTCCTCCTCCATCGTAAATTGTATGTCCGGGAAGACCGCATTCAGACGTTCCTTGAATGTCAGCAGTTGATCCCGATCGATAACGACGAAGGTATCATCAACATACCGGGCCCAGAACGTCGGTTTGTGGTGTTGGAAGACCAGCGACTCTAACCGTTGCAGGACCGCCTCGGCGATGAATCCCGAAATCGGCGAACCCATTGGTGTGCCCTTCACCTGTTCGTAGATTGTATCGTCGAACGTGAAGTACGTCCTGAGACAGAACTTCAGGAGCTAAAGGACTTAGGAGCGTCCAAGACGATTCTCCGTTTCATCGTATTTGCTTTGCAGAAGCAGCTCGATTGTCTCGATCGCCAGGTCCTGGGGAATAGAAGTAACCAAGGATGTAACATCAAAAGATACCATGACCTCATTTGGATGGAGGCTTACCCCTTCGAGTTTCTCCAGGAATTCTGCTGACGAAGAGACCGTCGTGTCTGACTCAGCGGTCAGCAACTTGAGACGCCGGAACAGCCACTTAGCCAGTCCATACGTTGGAGTACAATTGAGCGACACGATGGGTCGGAGAGGAGCGCCATCTTTGTGCACCTTAGGGAGGCCATAGAATCGAGCCAAAGCCGTATCTTGGGGTCTCGCCATGCGTCTGTCGGTCGGTGTTATTGCGCCTGAGTTCTCCAAGGCCAACAACGTGGCATTGATTTCGCGTGTCAGCGCTTTTACAGGGTTCGTTGCACATGGGACATAGAACTGTCGGTCCTCCAGCAAATCTTTGGCTTTTTGAAGGTAGTCTGTCCTGTCCAGCACAACCGTGGAGCGCCCCTTGTCCGCTGGCACGATGACCAAGTCTTTGTCGGCCTTGAGTTCTCTCAGCGCATCACGTTCGTTGGATGTTGGCGTGATGATTGCTCGACCACCTGACGCGCTGACCCGGGTGTTGGGAAGAGTGTTCATCAGGGCGCTCCCCGCGTGGTCAATTTCTCCGCCTAGACGAAGTCTCAGCACGCTGTATTGAATGGGAAGATCGTTGCACTTGTTAATAGACTGGGGACCAGTGAACCATGACTCAAGCAGCTCCCGGCTCACGCGGTTGTCACCTCTTGCAAGAATTTCGGCCTCGTCAAATTTGAATGTGTGGCCGGAACCCGTCGAATGAGCCGCAACTTAAGAGCTGGCGTTATTTCTCCGCACTGCTGCAGCGTGTTCGGCCATTCGCTTTCGGAGCTGTCTTCCGGTTTCTCCGACGTAGTTGCTTTGTCCGCAACTGCACCAGATCCGATAAACGACTCCAGATGTTTCTTGCCGTGGCAGTGGGTCTTTTGGTTTCATCAGTTGACGCCTGATGGTTGCCTCTGGCCTGTGTGCAACTCCAACCCCCAGCGGTGCGAGAAGGCGGCCAACAGCTTCCGAAACGTTCTTGACATATGGAAGCGCTCGCCAAACTTTGGTGTCCCTGCGGTTAGGCCTTTCGTCCATTTTGCGTATGCACCAGTTGACAAAGTTGCTCGGTTAGCCATTGGCTTTGAATACCCGTCGGAGGTATTGTAATTCGGCAATCTTGTCTTAGGGCTCACTGCAGTTCGTTTCGACCAGCGGACAGAGCGTCCTTACACAACTGCGTTTGTGACTGATTGCGTGGTTGCTGTTGAAGCTCGGTACGTGCATCGTATTTGTCGCTTTCCTGAACACTTTGGTCTTTAGTCCACCACAATCCTTGCGGCATACCAGGACATCCAGGAAGGCCAGCTGGTTGTTCTCTTCACCCTTCTTCGTGAACTGAATGTCCGCATGGACGGCGTTGAGACGTCCTTTGAATGTCAACGTCTGAATTCGTTCGATGCCGATGAAGCTATAATCCGTATACCTTGCCCAGAACTTCGGTCTGTGGTGCTGGATGATCAGAGACTCTAACCGTTGCAGGACCGCCTCGGCGATAAATCCCGACATCGGCGAATTCAATGGTGTGCCCTGCATCTGTTCGAAGACTGTCCCGTCGAAATTGAAGTACGTACATAGACAAAGCTTCAGGGGCTGAAGAACTTGGGCGTGTCCAAGACAGCTATCTGTTCCATCGTACTTGCTTTATAGAAGCATTTTTTTGTCTCGATCGCCAGGTCCTGGGGAATAGAAGTAACCAAGGATGTAACATCAAAAGATACCATGACCTCATTTGGATAGCGGCTTACCCCTTTGAGTTTCTCCAGGAATTTTGCTGACGAAGAGACCGTGATGTCTGACTCAGCGGCCAGGAACTTGAGACGTCGGAACAGCCACTTAGCCCGTCCGTGCTTTGGAGTCCGTTTGAGCGACACGATGGGTCGGAGAAGAGCGCCATCTTTGTGCACCTTAGGGAGGCCATAGAATCGGCCCAAAGTCGTATCTTTGGGTCTCGCCATGCGTCTGTTCGAGCAAGAATCCGATACGGCAGCCTTATAAAGCTGTTGTCCCAGCGATCGTGTCGACTTCTTCAAGACTACTTCCTGGGACTTGTCTCTCCTCTTTTATTGGAAAACACAGCTCAGTGCACTGCCTGCATGATAATGCAGGAAGTTAGACGCGGATTACGTCTAAGAGAGGGGGCACACGTAACTCTAAATGTGAAATGCAATTCTTATTTATCTGGAGTGGTAACACCTTCACAGCTACCTAGTTTCGGAAACATCCGCAGTATAGCATTACCGACAAAGACTAGGGGGATTGCGAAGGGATTTCTTGATTTGTTGGTCGTCATCCGCCAGTTATGAGGCATGCAATCTTTAGGCCTCGAACTCGTGATCAGGTGTTATAAGTCAATCATTGTTACTGCCGAAGCTCGAACACAGGGCATTTTGGTTAAATATTTAACACCCTTACCACGGAGCCATGGGGTTCTTGTGCTGTCGCTTGCGATGAGGCAAATGAACACTGATTGCACCCCACAGGACAACAAGCCCGTGGCTCAGCGATTTGGGTCTTGCACTTTTAACCAACGAGTTCCGTGTGGTATATAGAGGGCAGGCGCATTATTTGGCCATTTGGAAATAAAATCTCCAAATATGCGACTTTAATATGCAGTCACTACCCAAACTGAAGACTTGCATTTCGTTTTCAGTAGCATTATGGGATAGGCAAATTATAACACATAAAATGAATAGTTAAATAGGAGAAATACGGCCAAAGTTGACACGCAATTTGAAAAAAGCGCCTTTCAAAGGCAGGTTGCACCTTGTTTTCTACTCAAATTTTTCACATACTTGCAGATTTATGCCCATGGCGATAGTTTCAAAATTGTGATTATTAGGCGCCGTGACGAAAAAAGAAGATGCATTTCCTGGAAGGGTTAGACCTGGGTGGGTTTCTTCTCTCCACTATAGCAATTCTCAGCGAGCGCAAAATACTTACTTTTCATAACATTTACCGACTTTATGGAGCTGTGAAACTACTAAAATCAGAGCAGTTGTCATTATCCGACATAATGCACTTGACGCACAAACCGCTAGTACCGACTACGGCAATCCCAACTTCAGTCATTGAAGCGGTAAGTAGTAATCTCGATTGTTTCTCCGTGTCACTGCCGCCGTTCAATTTCTTTCATAAAACCAGATATGTGGGAGGGAAAGCTCGTGAAGTTGAATGAGTATGTGATCATTGGTCCAGTCCACAGAGTCACCACCGACAATGTTGGAGACTGGTCACATTTGTACAAAATATCTAGAAACCTCTGACTTTGTGTCTAACATTCGCTTAGTCATCTTGTGCTTATGCTTTCACGTTTGCAGACATTGGCCGGGTTCTTGAACGTTTTTGCATAATCGGCAGTTGTATTTCAGGCCCTAGGAAAGAGCCAGATTCTGCAGCTTAAGAATAGGGACTTTTTTACTTCGAACTATTGACTCAGGTCTGTTAGAAACGCCCATATTAAAAACCCTTTATAATAAAGAGCTTCCCGAAAAAATTCCTCCCGTTCCATTTGTCGACTTGTCTGCTGTAATGTGCTCCCAACCGCTGGTATCGCACGCAGATTGTTTGAAATGGTTGTTGATCCTCGTAATTATGCATTTGTATCGTGTTTATCAATTTTCAGTTAACTACTGTCATTAAGTTTCCAAACTGTTAGAGGAAAACTAGAACACCCAAAAGCGAAAGTCATTTTGCCACTTCCCTTAAAAATATTTTGCCTTAATTTAGAAAATTTACAGGTTATAGCATTTTAAAAAAGCCGCATTAAAATCCATATTACAATCCCACTCAAAAAATCTTTTCACCGAAATCCGCGTTTAGAATTTTTGTTTACGTTTAGTGACGTAAATTACTGACTTTACGTCTGTGGAAATACTATGCAGGACATTTATGGTTTGTGAAACCATGCGAAAACAGTTTGCAGACGGACAGCGCATTGTCGGGGTTATGAAATGATTTACCTAAGGAAACGTTCACCGAGCTTATCTTCGCTTTAATTAATTATGCCTCCTGTTTTTTGAAGGCGGCAACGCACGCCCAAACGTGTGTGCGACTTTGCCGACATCGTAGCCTCCATGCTTACTTCCTTTTTTAATATTCATTTATATTGCGGTTTAAAGCTGATCTGCATGCTTTGCTAGACAGCATGAACTCTGCTAATTGCGAATAAACCTTTTCTGGGTTTCCTTTCGAAGGTGTATTATTGCGTGGCCGTATGCCACAAATTTATTGCTCATGGAATGCGTTTCACAATTTTAAACGAATTTGATTTTGCCAAACGCATTTACGCTGAATTTCTTACCTTATTTCTATGAAACATCATCGACCAATTAACGATTATATCAAGTGTGCAGTAAGAGTTCCAAATTATTTTATCGTTTATACTCATCTATTTCAGGTCTTGTTTCTACGCAGCATTATTTCCAGCCGCAACTGATCTGAATAACATTTCACAAGAATATGCCACGTGCGCACCATAGCTGTCCCTGCAATTTGTCGTAACTAACACAGATCTTGTGAAATATTCATAACTTGTTTTGATAAGCACTTATCAAATTATCCGTAAAATACTTTGGTTTTGTGGATTCATTAGTTGTGAATGAACGCGTTTGTGCCGTAATGTAATCCTCTCATCCCTAAAACCGTAAAATCTCCTAAGAACGGGTTCAAAAATGTAATTTCGAATGCTATAGACCAGCTCCTGCGAATTGGCTTAAATGTTAGGAAATGGTTTATCGTGAAGGTTTTGGGTTTGCAAGAAAAATCTAAAATGTTTAAATAGGCTACGCATGTGAAATTCGACCTGCTCTTTAAAAAGCATTAAAACGGTTTTCACGGCTGCAAGTTCGGTTTAATTTTTATCTGCCAATCAAACAGTAATTTCATTCTTAAAGTCGTAAATCCCGCGAGTTTTGACATTTTAACATGGCAATTTCAAATAAAAAGACGGTCCGATTTTTATGATATGTCCACAAAGTGATGGCTGCGAATTTAGCTAACACATGTATAAAGGTCAGAAAAATTGTGACGTAGATGCCTTTGCCCAAGCATCGCCTGTCAATGTCGGTATGATCCTAATAAAACATCCCACTGAGTATTCCATTACTTCATCCTTCTTGTGATATATTAGTGAGACAAAAACAATCAGCACTGTGTTGACGACAGAGACAGGTTTATTAAAACGTTAACGAGGTTCAACAATATTTTTTGAGATAATGCAAAACGTTTTTTGATATTTCGCAAAGTAAATACATGCTATTATTTAGATCGATATGTCTGTGCACCAAAAAATATCTGGAGATAAAAATACTCTGTAGGTCTATCAACGTGGTTTTAATTAATATCTTTTATTAAACTACAGTCTTTTCCCATAACTACTCAAAGTTAAAATCTCTTATTTCCTACTTGTCTTTAGAAGCATTACCAGTGCGCATCCCATACTTTCAGTACGGCCAGATATCCGTGTTATTTACAGCAATTAACATTTCAAGCGCCTTGCTTTCTGTGGCCAGTTTTGTGGAATTTTATGGAATTTCAATGTATTGTGGTTACTGGATCGTCGAGATATAATTATCTTTATCCAAGTAGGAAAACGTCAAGATATTTACGACTAACTTTGGGCGTGGTTAGTTTTTGTTTCATGTGAGTGTGCGTGCTGACCATCATCTGCCCTTACGAAGGCTGTAATTGATTTTTTGGCTCAAACTCATGTGAAAAAATTCTGTGAGAGAGCCGCGCGTGGCCGTCGCAGTGCGCAGTTCATGTGGCTTTTTCCCGCCTAAAACAAGCAGAAGGTAGGCTTTTAAAATTGAAGTCGACAATTAGGGTCGCACTTCAGAGCACATATTGGGTTTCCATAAATGTCAAGACCGCTTGTCTGGATGGGAAATGTCCCATGAAACTATTGATATTTTGACCTCTTCGAATCATGACCTTAGAAGCGCACGTAGGTCTGTTTTTCAAACACTTGACAGCGTCAGTTGTCCTTAATAGTTTTCCCTGAGATTGCATAGTATTTGTGGATTGTTATGCGTTCATCATCAGGGTACTTGAAAGCACAAACTGCAAGGCAAAATTATTTTTTTTCTTTTTGCTATTTGGTGAGGCTGATTAAAATCTAAAAGCTCTTTCCGGGTGAATTATTGAATAAAATTGTTGCAAATGATTATTAATCTCTTCTGAGTGTAAGGATACGTAAGATAGCTCTGTGTTTATTTCCCGAAAACACCTATCAGATACAATTAAAAATGTATAAATTACTTTTCTTAGGTTCCGCGTGATGAATGCTTCTACAATCCATATTTACTCACAGAAACGGGCTGTCCCGATTTCAAATCAGATTTCATCAGCTGATATATAAAGTGGCGTTTTATTTGAAACCGGTGACATCACCTGGGCCCGTGTGAATAGAAATATTGAGTATCCCAATCATAATTTAAAGAGGTGCGTAGAAAATCCGTATACCCCAACCAACGTCGTGGACCAATGAACAAAGGCTTAAATTACTCCAGTTAACCGTTGCAACAACACATACCGCAAAAATAAAATTTGGTATGCTACGGTGGAAGACACTTTCAATTTTTTCGCGAACTACAATGTAGCTCATCCTATCATTAATGCGCTTCATAGAAAGATTCCCGTTTAGGAGTTGATTTTGCGTTTCCCGTTTACCGGAAATGACTGCAGTAGCTCGTCAGACCAAACTTGTCGGGATTATTGAAACTAAATAATTTTTCTACTAAATGAGTCACTTAAACACCATAGTCATGATATATTAACTGAATACATGGCATGAGACAAGGAAATAATTCCATCAACGTGATCAAGCATGCAAGAATGAAACCGGTGGAATAAATCTGGCATTTCGGTAACAGCAACATTTTATAGGATTGTTTTATAGGTTTCAGGGTTCAGATAACAATTACTGAGCAGACTTGACTACGGTTTTAAGTGCATC